TAAAAAACAAAAAAAAAAAAAAAAAAAAAAAAAGAGACTAAATTTATGTGTTTCAGTTGTTTAAAGAGTGTATGTATGTATATATTTTATCATTTTAAAAAAATACTTTATTTTTTAAATTTTATTTGAATTATAAATATTCATATGTATGAAATATTTCTTAATTTAGTGAGAAAACATTCTTTTTAATGAATTAATAGGGTGATATAACGACATTTTTGAAGAGTGCTGCTATTTGTTAAAATAAAACTGCATATAAAACCTACACAGACAGATGAGGATATTTTTTTATTGGTTATTTGAAAACTAAAAAAGGAGAAAAAAAAAACCTTAAGTGATTGATATAACTTAGGTAATTGGCTCGTATATAGTTTCGTCTAATATTCTTTCTACCAAACAATATTTTCCATTTTCGAAACATCAAATATGTGATTTTAAAAAATAAAAAAAAATCTCGCAAATTCAACCTTAAATTTTTTTTATAACAGGCACAGCACATCAATCTTTAAGAATGTAAAATATCGCATTCGAAAAAAAAAATGTAAAATCTCATTTTAATTAGTTACTGTTTTGAAAGCTTAATTAGTTACTAGAAATGGTAAAAATGAGTCATAATAATCTTAAGAGACAAATATAAAGTTTTTATTTGTTTATTTATAAAGTTTTATATTATTTTTGGAAGTAATGCATTTTACTTCTAAATCCATGCTTGGGTATAGTTGGACTTTTCATTGTGCATCACTTCATGTGGCGTGGATTTTAGTTGTTATCAACAAGCTTGTTAATTGCCAAATTGCCAAATGTACGTTTTATTCTTTCAGAAGCTAAAACCAATTCAATTAGCTTACTTTAAGACAAAGCAATAAGCAATTATCTATAAACGTTTTAGTTTTCATATTCTCTTCTTGTTTGACTTGAGCAGCAGCAAAAGCCAAACACCTAATCGCAAACCGCAAACAAAATAATAACCTCGATGATAACTACGTATTGTGCAATAAAATAATCACGTAACGTAACAATACATGCTTATTGCTACAAAATTAATTAATTACATATGTGCCTTCTTATTGGTGCAAAATTACACGGTTAATCAAAATAATTAAGCCACTATTTTTTTTAATATTTCTCCTCCAATCCCACGCCCAACAGTTTACTACTCCATAGCTTTGATATATAGAACGACACATATATATATATTATTATTTACTTGCCCTGAATTGTGCCTCAATACAATTAATATTATGGATTAAAAATTATTATTATTATTAAATAGGACACACATATTGTTATTTCCTTGCCTGAATTGTGTCTCAATACAATTAATATTGTGGATTGAAAATCATTATCAAATAGGAGAAAGATAGGAAAATTGACAAAAATAAAAATAAAAGAGAAGTAAAAGGTCTCCTGAAATTTGAAAAAAAAGAGAAGTGTTGAATGAACTTTTTAACGCACTTTTTTTTTCTTATTGTACTCTCTATTATTAATTGTAATATATTTATTTCAAATTCAAATATAAAATAAAATGCCTCATAAATAAAAGAGTTGAATATAAGTAAAAATCAATTAATTATATACCATATTTAATTTTATTATTCTAAACTTAAAATATCTTTTATCTAATTGAGATTTTATTTTTAATATTACTCTTAATATCAAGTTTTAATAAAGGATAGTATAGAATTTTTTTATTATTATTTTGAATTCATATTAACAAAATTAATTAAGTGTGTATTTGTTTTATGATCAGCATCAAAGTTCATTGAACTTAATTTATGAGTGTTGTAGTTTTGAATTCAATGAATCTTTGAAACTTGTGAACTATAAAACAAATACTTTGTAAGTGGTGTTATCTAACCATTGGAATTAGCTAGGAGTATGTTTGAAAAAGCGCTTGAATCATCCTAAACGTGAAATCTCAGTTCCAAAACATAAAAAAGAAGTAAAATTTTGTAACTTATAAATAAACAAACGTGGGTTTAAAAGGTAACGGCAACTGAAACATATAAGAGGTTGTTGAAAGAGAAATTTACAAGTATGATGATAGGATGATGAATCAGGTGTTACGTTTTTTAGATTTCCGAAAGAGGCCGCAGAAGGCAAAGGTTGATAGCTTGGGAGAAGGTGGGTCGACGGAGGGTGCTGCCACTGCCACGTTGACCGTCCGATAAGGCCTTGCCCCTGCTGATCTGCTGCGCTCCAGCCCACCTACGGATCCTTCCTTCTCATTAGCTTGTTCCTTTTGAAGGCCACTGATGAACTTGTCATCCCAAACCAACCCTGAAGACCCTTGTCTCCTGAATGATGTTACTGATCTCTGCAATTCACTCATCTCTCTCTCTCTCTCTCTCATTCAAGACAGGTTCCTTTTAAGCACTAATAAATCGTTTTATGATGATGTTTGACCTTTGATTATTAGGGAGATGATGAGGTTGGGGAAAATGACAAATAAAAGAATATATCTATACAAGGAAATCACTACAGAATCTACGCCATTCACCTATTTTACCATCTTACCTTAATTACATCCTACTCTTTTTACCAAAACATGCCCCAACACTACCAAATTATTCTGGCTATTGCTGTAGTCTACCATCTTCTGCTCTCGCTCAATTTCCCTATTATATTCCGAGTACTTCAAATTACGTAACTCTTGCCATAATTTATTGTTAGTAGGCTCTCTTAATAATGTTGGTATTTTTCACTTTTTCAACTATGGTCTGTCTAAATTCTAATAATTATGCAAATCTTATCATTCGGAGATTTTTTTTTTATTTTTTTATCGAGAATTGAATTGGGCCTTTATGGAGATTCTTGATTCGGCCTAATGTTGACCAAATTTAACCTTTAGTACTATCCAAGCTTTGAAAAGGGATACTGTTTTTATTTTATAACACCTTTTTCATGATATTTATTTAATTATCAGATCGTATTTTATATTTTTTTCCCCTTTCAATCATTTTTTTTTATTTATAGAAATTGTTGTGAGAATATAAGATGGAAATAACATTTCTCAACTTTGGATTCGGGTAAAAGTGTAAAACTCCTTAGAGAGTAACAATAATGTCATGATTCCATTTTGAACGAGTCTACGATAAAGTACCTAGTCACTAGGGAATCACTTCTTTTAACCATTAAATTTGTTAATAAAAAATGGATAGCTGAGATTTTTAACCTGATACCGGTTTACACTTTGTAAATTGTAATAGGTTTTGCATTTTAGCCTTTTAGGCTGTGTATAAATGTATTATTTGGACCAACTTGCAGAATTTTTTCATTTGAAATTTTGAAAACCTTAGGAATAAAACAAATAACAATCACGAGAGAGAAATGAGCTATCCTTTTGGTGGGATACTAGGGACATTGTTGAATATAGTGCCACTAGTTTTCCTCCAATTACCAATATATATAATATATATATTCACACACACGAAAATGGACTTACTTATTTTAAAAGTAAGTTTTTGTATATTTACTCCAATCAATAATTTATGTTCTACATTAAATCTTAACAATTTAAGTGTTAAATAATTTTTTTTAATACATAAATCAAGTCTACAAATTTTTATAAATTTTGAAAACTATTTGATATTATATTTTGTTAATTTGAATTGACGGATAATCATAAAAATATTTTATATGTTGATTTGAATTTATATAATGAAGATTTATATATTTTCAAAATTTTAAAAAATTTATAGACTTAATCTATATATTAAGAAATTTTAATTTAACTGTTAGATTATTAAAATTCAATATAGATCATGAATTATTGAATTCTTAAACCCTATTTGGAACAGCTTATGAACAACCTATTTGCACTAATCTTATTTTATACATGTTTGTGAAAAATTTAGACAAACTTATAAAATATCTTATGAATAACTTATAAAATATTTTACACTTATTTTGATTAGTTATTTAATATAACTTATTAATTAACTTATGTAGAATTTATTGAAAAATATCCAAGTTCAAATATTGTCATTAACATAATTTTTTTTCATTCTTTCACTAAAAATTAGTTTTTATTTTTTTTATTACGCTCTCCAAAGAATTTTTTGTCTCCCTCCAAAAAAATTTGTTCCTCTTTTTTTTTTCTCTTCTCCAAAAGTCCTTTTATTTTAATTTTAGTCAAAATTTAATTTGTATTGTTTTAATTTTTAAAATGAGACAAAATCTTATAAACACTTAAATAATGATACATTTAAACACTTTAAAATTATTTAAGTGTTTACTAACACGTATATTCAAATACAACAACTTATTGAATTTTGAGCGCTTATAACATAAGTTCTTATTATATAAGAGCTTATAAAAGAAAATCTTAAATAAATAATTTATCCAAAGAATCCTAAAATCCTAAGTCTACTAAACCTTATACTTAGAACAATTGAATGACATATACATATACATAATATATATATATATATATATATATATATATATATATATAGGTCCTAAACATTTGGTTTTTTTAAAATAGGTTTCAAAATTATAAGATTTGGAAGTTCTTAATCTTTTTCATTATTTATAGTTAGGTCCTTAGAGTAAAAAAGAAATAAAGAATATTCTGTTAAAGGTAACGATTTGTAAATAGACTATTAACATCACGACTTAACCATAAAAAATGAAAAAATCAGAAAAGTTAAAAAGCTAGCTTATGTATTAAGACTGAAAACAAACATGTTTAAAAACATTTTCAAATAACTTAATTAAAATACAATTTTGTAAATAGATGGAGAAATGAATGTGGAGCCTTGCAGTGTTGTTGTTGTCTTCCAAGAGATGGTCCAAGTTCAGTTCACGGCAAAGTTAGGAATCACTTTGATGCGATGCCGCCTAATAATGAAGTTAGAGGGGAGTTATGGGTCGTGTCTGCCTATTGCCCCCTACTTCACTACATGCTTCTTCTTCTCTTCATGTTTAACTCTCACGCGCCCAACACAAAGTGCTACACTAGGTTACTTTTTTATATCCACTTAATTATTTTTTTTATTTTAAAACCCTAAGCATTTAATTTTTTCAAACTTTAAAATAATAAAGTACTACTATCTTCCACCGCATCATTTCCTAACCGAAGTCATTATTGTGAGAGTGACTCGTCACTGCCTTTTATAA